TGTGTGTGTGTGTGTGTGTGTGTGTGTGTGTGTGTGTGTGTGTGTGTGTGTGTGTGTTTCTTCAGCTCTTAGAACTTTTTGACAGTGAAGACCCCAGAGAAAGAGATTTTTTAAAGACCACTCTCCATCGCATCTATGGGAAGTTCCTGGGCCTTCGAGCATACATTAGAAAACAGATTAATAACATATTTTATAGGTGAGTGTGTGTCTTCCATAGCTACATTAATGGTGCTTGTTTTGTTTATGTTTTTTTTTTTTTTTTTAAAGGAACATTATTGCTAACTTGTGTGTGTTTGCCCTTTTTCAGGTTCATTTATGAGACTGAGCATCATAATGGAATTGCAGAACTACTGGAAATACTAGGCAGGTAAGATACTTTTAGATTTGTTAAAGCAGCTGCTGTTCACAGTATAGGGCTCAAAATATAGGTTTGTTTTTTGTATGTGTGTGTGTACATACACGTACACAAGTGGTCCGCAGGTGCGCATTTGCTATCAAAATAAAAGATGCGCACCAGATAAGAAGTTTCAACATGCGTTTGCATACATATTAAAGGCACTGTTTTGGTCCACTAGAGTGGGATTTTCATGGCATATTCTGCACCACATCTCTGTGCGTTCATCATTTGTTTGAAGCCAACTCACCTCCTCCAACCACTTCTCCGAGAATACGCGCTTCTTTTGCGGACTCCCTCTGACATTTCTTTGGAGGTGAAGGAACACCAAAGTAATTGCTTAAAGGAGCTTCTTCGACATCTTTAAGAGTTCTAAACAAATGTCTGTCCTCCTCCAGAAAATCTTATGCACTAATGGCTAAAGGGTGCAGTGATTTATACCATTTGCAAATTTAAATGGAAATAGAGTATATGAGGCAAAAAGTGAGTTTGCACAGTTTTAGTAAGTTCGAAAGTCAATATTTAGTAAGGCCACCTTTATCCTTCAACACAGCCTGCGCTTTCTTGTGATTTCTTTGAGTAGTCTTCAGAAATAGTTCTCCGGGCTTCTTGAAGGACATTCAAAGCACTTCTCTGGATGAAATTGAAAAATGAAGCTGTTGGCAATCAGATGCTTTCCAGATGGAGTTGTATTGTGGAGGATACAGATTTCGGTGCCATCACTCCATAAGACTTGTTGCCACTGATTTCAGTCCAGTCCTTGTGTGATTTGTCATTTTCATTAGAACATTTCTAATGAGGCTTCAGTAAACAGATAATGGGTCACCTGAAAGGCCACATGGTATTTGCAAAGTTGCTATGTATGGACATATTACTGGTTCATCCCATGAGTTGAGAGATTATTTTGTTTTCGTAGGTCTGTGCTGAAAAAAAATTTCTCTGATAATGTTCAAGTACAAGGACTGAAAATGAGTGAAAGAACAGTGTCCAAAGAAAGTCTTTGAAAGAGCTTCAGAAATCCTGCAGAACTATTGTTCAAGACCATTTCAAAAATGACAGGCTGACTCCTTGGAAGAAATGTATAAGAGCATTAGTGGTGGCTCAAGACTTTTATTAATATTTGGATGCAGAATTATTGTAAACTGGAGTAATTTCTTCTCTAATAATGATCTTTCTCACAGCATAATCAATGGATTTGCATTACCTTTGAAAGAAGAGCACAAGATATTCCTGCTGAAAGTCCTCCTGCCTTTGCACAAAGTCAAGTCCCTTAGTGTGTATCACCCACAGGTAGGAATTTTCTTATGCTTTGCTCTGCCTTCCTCTGCTATAAGCAAAACGCTGTAACAAAAGTATGTCTCGAGCAAAGTTTTTTCACTTGGCAGACATGCAGGTAATGCCTCAAAGCAGTTATTTTGTCAGTGAAGCATCTATCCAATGATAAAAAATGTGGAGTTAGTCACAACTTTAACTCTCAATGTTCACCAGATAAAAATGCACATTTCAACTTAACAATCTGGTCCTTTTACCCCTAACTAATGTTTAAAAATAGCGTACACATGCAAAAACTGACATCTGTGCTCATGTGCCAATGCAGCAACATTTTTTTGCCTGATTAGAACATTTAGGACAGCCGCCATCTTTGATGTTACTTTATTATGTAGATTCTGTAGTTTGTTGAGTGCAATCTCTCTCCCAATAATATTTATGATACTTCTGATTTTGTCAAAATGAAAACGAATTCCGTTTCCTGTTTTTCCCTTTTATTTCCCAGCTGGCTTACTGTGTGGTACAGTTCTTAGAGAAGGATAGCACCCTTACAGAACCGGTAAGATTTATTTATTTTGATATTGATTTTTTGGCATTTTTTTTTTATTATCGATTGACCTTCAAGCTCTTTTCAGACATACGTCATTCAAACTCCTCAAGACAGTATTCTCTGTTTGTTTTATGGTGGGTAAGGTCGGAGCAAACATAAACACGCTCACAAGTCCTCACAAACCTGCTGGAAGGTGTTTTGGATTTTGTGTGCTTGCATTAAGGCCCTGAGATCAACTAAACTACTTTATGAATATGTTGACTACTGTTTCTGCTTCTACTGATAGTTTTTGTAATGTAAGCTCATGTAATCCACCATCAGCAGATTAATAGCTGACCAAAATCTGCTGTCCAAACATTCCTGCTTCCTCTTTAATAAGCCTGGTATCCTGTCTGTGTGCGTAGACGGTAATGGCATTGTTAAAGTATTGGCCAAAGACCCACAGTCCAAAAGAAGTTATGTTCCTCAACGAACTGGAGGAGATACTGGATGTCATTGAGCCTTCGGAGTTCGTCAAAGTCATGGAACCCCTCTTCAGACAGCTGGCCAAATGTGTGTCAAGCCCGCACTTTCAGGTCTGAACCACATCCCTGTTTATTTTGATGCGTGTTTTAGTTAATCATACAGTGTGCATTCTGTTTGTCTGTGTACGCACGTAACCCTATGAAAAACTGTGTTGTCAGGTAGCAGAGCGAGCGCTGTACTACTGGAATAATGAGTATATCATGAGCCTGATCAGCGACAACGCTGCCAAGATCCTCCCCATCATGTTCCCGGCCCTTTACCGCAATTCCAAAACCCACTGGAACAAGTGAGGCTCCCCCCACACACCCCCTCCATTTATCTGTTTATCTTTATGATGAAGTGTATGAGGATAGTACGTAAGCAAAGCAAGTGACCTGTGGTAACCTTTTTGTGTCTGTAGGACGATTCATGGGTTGATTTACAATGCTCTGAAGCTCTTTATGGAGATGAACCAGAAACTGTTTGATGACTGCACCCAGCAGTTCAGGGCAGAAAAAAGCAAGTAAGTAATGCAGGGAGACATCACACCCATTTATACAGCGCAAGCTACAGTTTCCTTGTTCTCATTACAGTGTTAGAAACGTCATGGAAAACATTGTTTAAACATCATTAGAAGTGGAAAAGATGACTAAGTAGATACAAACTAAAACCACAATCTCTTAACTTGAAAGAGTTTGGGTATATAACTTTTTTTTTTTTTAACATGAGTTTATCTTTCAGCAAATCTTCTCTGTTTTGAAGAAGTCTCTTAGGACTCTGTGTGTGTTTGTGTGTGTCAGAGAGAAAGCCAAATGGAAAGAGAGAGAAGAAGCATGGGTGAAGATTGAGAATCTAGCAAAGGCAAACCCACAGGTGAGCAAATAAATAGTAACCTAGCAATTCTCACAGTGCTGCAACCCTCTCAGTGGTTTGCAGGGTATCTCAGTGCGAATCAAGCAGGGTTTGATGTTTTGGTGATGAACATCAGTTGGTGTTTTGACAAACACTCCAACTGAGGGGAAAAAAGGAAAAAGAGTTTCTAGTTTTTCTTCTTCCTTTTTTCTTCTGTGTATGTGTGGAAGCAACAGATGGAAAGTTACAGAATGGATTGTGGGGAAATGTATGTCCAAAAGCTGAGGATTAAAGTCATTGAGAAAAGTTCTGCTTAAAGCTAGCACCTCTCACAAACCTGTACATTGGATAATGCGATTCTTTGTGGTTAACTTTTCTTTCTCTTCCTGTGCTGCAGTTTGTCGTGTATGTGGACTCAATAGGATCAGGGAGTCCGATGGACATGGAGACAGATGGGCCACTGCTAGACGATGTCAACATGCTAAAGAAAGCAGTAGTTGAGGAAGCCACACAGGTCAGTGTGTGTAACATTTAATATGCATGCCTATATCTGAGGGGTACTACACGTTCTCACTGAAATGTGCACAAGCTTTGATGAATATCGCTTTAATATGAGACCTGTTTACATTTCAGATGTTAGAGCAGTCAAGTAAGTCTTAATGAAATCATATACGTGGTCATAAAAAGCAGAAATCTGGACACTGTAATTTATTTATTGATACTGACTTTGGCGCCAGGAATGGAGGTTTATTTTTATTTGAAAACAAATAAATGTGGTTATGTTAAGTGGAACCACACAGCTACAGTCCAGCAGTCCGTTTTTTTTTTTCTTTCATTTTTCTTCAAAGCAGCAGAAAACTACAAGAAATGTTAATAATGAAGAAAATGTGTGAAGTGAAAAAAGCTAATAATAATACTGCAAATGAATTCCACTAATCACAGCTCATTTTGCAGGATGCTGTGGAGCCTCTCTCATTAGTTGACATAAATACAAAAGCAATTTTAGGATACATTTAAAATTGTGAACTGTGCAGCTCAGGCTTAGCGACATTTTTCTCATGCCGTGTGCCAGTCACTTTGCCTAAATCGTCCAGTTTGGTGTGTCTGTACTGTTTTAGCGATAGCTGTGCTGTAAATAAAAACCACGTTCAGGCCCATAAATATCTGTGTGGCGCGTGTGAAAACAGCAGCACTATCAGGGGACTTTGTAGTGGTTACTGTGCAACTGCCGCTGCCACCAGCAGCTTTTCAGAAGCACAAAGATGAATGCGGATGTTCCAATTCTGCGCGATCGATGCAGCTCCTAATGCGTCCTGTCATCACTTTGTTTTTTTGTTAATATCTGTCAAATGCTAAAATGAAGGATGCTGTCGACCGAGCAGCACAGAACCTCTAAGCTGTCTGCACACTCCTGTTTGTGTAAAGTATGTGGGTGTAGGACTGTTGCAGACAGCATCTTCACATTTGTATTGTTTTGAAACAGTGGTCATAAAATGCACACATACAGTGAATTTGCAGGTTGTTGGTTAAAAAAATATTTCTTCAGAATCACAAATGAGCTTGGTTTATGACTCAGCTGTTTGGCCCCACAAGTAATTCCTGAGCAAAGATGGTTATTCCAGCTGCTGAAACGGAGACAGATTACATAAATCACTTGAGCATCCTGTCTGCCTTCCAAACCCAAACAACAGAGACGGGATGAACAAAGAGTGTTAAAGGACAATATTGCCAGAGTCTTGTCCATGCTGCACTATCACATTTTTCTTTATTATACAGTTTTGAATTGTATAGCTTATCAGTTTTGTCATGTAAGTGAGAAAAAGGTTTGAAAGGAAAGCAAATTTCAGGAATTAAAATCTTGTTCGGCCTGTAAAACGGGCCTCTGTGCAGAAGCTTAGGTTCATGAAGTGGGGCTGTAAATGCATTAGTTCTGATTTTACTGATCCCTCTTTGTGTCTGTGTCTAGATCCAAAAAGACCAGCGCAGAGAACGCCCGTTGATGCGGAGGAAATCTGAGCTCCCCAAAGACATCTCCACAGTCACAGCTTTGGAGTTGCACCGAAGAGCAGAGGAAATGTTGACGCCACACGATGGCCATTAAGAGACCATCCCAGACCTACCATAAACCAGCAGCATCCACAGTGGAATCACAAACCCACGGAGGGCCAGCACAAAAACCCCCAAAACAAAACAGAACTGTGGTATCTCAGTCCAGCCCAGTGCAACACAGAAATGAACGATGCCAGCTCCACCTGACACAGAAAATGTCTAAAGCCACACATCTAAGCCAGGTCCGGCTTTGCGAGACAAGCAGTGCTCGGTCCTTACTGATCCCCACCCCTTCACCTGGTTCTTGTTTGCGGTGCTGGGATGTCCTGCATGACCACAGCAACCCGCCGTATACTGAACTTCAAATAAGAAATTGTCGTAATCTCCTTCTCTTCTGTTTTTTTCCCCCCTCTCCTTGTCCGCTCAACTTGTGTTTTGGGGTGCTGTGCTGCCCCCTTCTGGTCATTTTTCTCAGGTGTTCTGTTCTGGTGTGTGTGTGTGTGTGTGAGCAGTCTTCTTCTCGTCTCTTCTTTATCAACGTCAGGTGCTTGTACAAATAATAAGAGCCCCCAACTATAACTTCAATGGAGGCCATCTACAGTGGGGTGAGACTGTGTCAGTTCTTTCTGTATATTTAATATTGGCTGTTTTTTCTCATAAAATTTAAACTAGATAGCTGTTTATATTTTTCCCTTCATGCTATATTAGGAGCTCTTCTAAGATTTTTAAAAAATCACGTCCTATCTGAAGAACTGTTCTGTTTCTTGCTATTATTTTAGGATTCATTCATTCACTCCATTCATCAGGACTGGGCCACTCCTGAATTCAGCAGGGGTGTGTGTTAAGGATTGGGGGGGGAAAAAAAACCTTTTAACTCAGTGCTGTTCATCAAACAGGGCCAACCTGACTGAGGTTCCAGGTTTTTCTTCTGCACATTATTCCCGTGTAGAAACCTAGTTCGGTGCCAACTTTCTCATTTAGTTCCTGTTTTTAAGAAAAAAAGATCTTTTAATTTTGAAGGCAGTCAGTTAGCACGGCTCCCCAAGCGTCTATGGCTTAAAGTTTACCACATGTTCAGAGCATTTTTTTATCGGTCACAGCGATGAGTCCGCGGCCCAAGCATGTTTGGTTGCCCGGTTACATGAGAGCGGATTGTGTCGATTTATTTTTAGTTTCCTATTTACGTCCAGCCATTGTGTGTTTAACATGGTTATTAGCATTCAGTACAAGTCACTATCATTCATTTAAGGCTTATGAGAGGTTAACGAGATGTACTAGGTTGTTTGGGATTAACACGATGTTACTGTGTGTTGAGAGAAGTTAAACAGGGGCAGAAACCGTGCCGATAATGAACTTTGTCTTTTTTGTTTTTCAAATCTTTTCAAGCAAGATCCTTTTATTTGTACAACAATTGGTAGAGAATAGATTGCTCCGTAGAGGAGGTATGTTTGGTTTGAAGAGGTCAAACATAAGCCTTTCTTTTCACAGTGCCTTTTGTAGTCGGAGAGGGTATTTACTCAACTGAGAACAGAGTAGCAGCATGACATAAAATGTCAGATGATTTCAAAGGTTATAACAGTAGTTTCCATAAAAAACGTATTCAGGTCCATTGTTGGACTTCTGCCTTGTTGAAGCTACGTAGTTGGATCCGTTTTGTTTTTTTTGAGTTCAAGGCTAAAGAGCAGAGATGGCGTGGTTGCCCCAAACCACTTCAGCAAAGAAGCACTTCCTGATAACACTTGAAAGACACTCGCAACACAACTGAAACTAAAACAAACTAGTAAACATTTGAAATCCGTGATGCTGTCTGTCTTGGTGTGTGTGTGTGTCTATGTGTGTGTGTGCGCTTGTTTGAGTGTTTGAGTCCCCTCCCCATAGTGCCTGTTGTTAAGAGCTAGCCTATACAGGAGAGGAAAATCACCTCCCATCCCAACTTTTCTTCTTCCATCCTGTGGCCCCTCTATTCCCGTTCCACTTTTTCTGATTTGTCCCATAGTCTGATCCTCTCTCGTCCCGCCCTCCACCTGCGTGCCCACACGGTGCACGCCCTCTTCAGTTTAAAAACACAACACGAAACAAAACCTGTAGGGCTCGTTATTTGAGCACGTGTTTGCTTCTGGATGCTTGCAAGTTCTTTTTTTTAAAATTTGTTTTGTTTTGTTGTGGTTTTATTCTTCCTTTGCTCGCAGAACCTCTCTGTCAGTGTTTTCAACTGAATGTGCAAATTTGTAAATAGTACTGCAACCACACTGTTCAGTTCTCTCCATGTTTGTCTTGAAGAACAACAGTCATTCAAGGCTTTCACCGAAACCCGACAAAAAGGAAAGCGATTCCATCCTGGCTGAAGCGCAGTGCTGGCTCCTATTGGTGACTGCTGTTCTTCTTCAGATGGCTTTAATATTGGCTTCTTTGGAGCTCTCTTCATTTGACATAAGCTTTGTTTTTGTTTCTTTGAAAAGAGTTTTATTTGCAAGTGTCCTTTAGTATGCGTCTGATACTAAATGGCTTTGTCTAATATTGTACATACAATGTACTTTTGTGTTATAACTATTATTAAATGGTAGATTTCATATTTTGTACAAAATATCCCGTGTACAGATTACAGAGGTTATTAGCAACTGCAGACAGTTGGTATGTGGGACAGAGTTCAACACATGTAACTATTTACAGTTAGAAACCATATAGAATTTGGGTAGTTTTTTATCTTTGTAATTTTGACATCTTTTCCATTTTTTTTTTTTTTCTTCTTCACCTCCAGATGTGTTGACCCTACATACATGAGCTTTTCGTGTGTGCTTTTATCCAAATCTCCAGTGGTGTACATCTATCTATATACAGCAAATAAAGAGAACATGTGTTTTATATTTTCATCCTAAGAAAAACAAAACAAAACAGTGTGTCATCTTTTTTCCTTGCAGTGCTCCTGATGGTCACAAGTTCATGCTTGGACTAAATAGTGTTGACATTTTGTAACTTTTTGATCCAGATGATCATCTGCTCTGTTCATCTGCTTCATCTTTTGATTGCTCTGTAAATATCTAACACTCTACAAGCTAAAATAACAAAGATTCTGTCTGAGTGGTGCCCAAAAAACGACGTGGGCTTTATAGATCATTAGGAAACCTTACGGGGGAACCCAGAAGCATCACCCTATAGCAGAAAACTCGTAAGCTGGAGAGCATCTCAGTGATTTAGAAGATCATAATTTAGCCTGAAGTTTATTTAACACAATTCAGTGGGCTACATACTGAACTTAAAAGATAGATCCAAAGAATCAATGCTATCAGCAGTGGTATCAATACTATTGATATTTAGATCAATCTTCCAAAGTCTAGCTGCCAGTAATTTCTTTTAAATGTACAGCCAATCTTTGGTTTGCGTCGGGGTTAATTGTGGAACTTAATTTGATGCAGTGTGTTTAGTGTTTATAGTAAAACTAAGACAACCAGCTCGAGTGTGTTGAAATTGATGTATTTCAGTTTAGTAAAGTTTAGTAATTTTTTTAAGTTGGACAAGAACAAGTTAGCTTTGAATTTGAAGTCAGAAAACCAAATAAGCCAAACTGTGGGAGCTTAGATTACATGGCCTAAAAAGTCTCCAAAGACTGCCTATCCAGTATATCCATTTACGCATTAGCAATGACAGGTTGTAACACACACATTTTTAACACGTCTTAATGTAACTCATCTTCTTTATTAATGAGTGATTAAAAAAATAATGAAAAATACTAAAAGAGGAACCCCAGATCCCCAATCCTGAAAAAAATACCCTGATGCATCCACAAGTTACTAAAGAAATAGTGTTTTGCTGCCACCTGCTGGAGAAAAAAAGTATTCAATATTTGAACCTCAACACGCAGATTAATTGTCTTGTCAAGAAGCTTAATCGTGAATTGATGTGGTGCTTCACTTGCTTTCACTGCACTAATTTCTCACACTTTTAAGATGCAGACTTCATGCATCTCTGCAGACTTTTTCTACCTCCAAATTAAAAGATGATTTGGCATTTCAGAAATAAGAAATAAGAGGGGTGCGCAAAGTATTACACTAATGAAATGCACATCAGCATGCCACCTTTGATGTTTTCAGCCCTTTATTTTTAACATTAAAAGCTCATTTTCAAAATAGAATCTCATTTGTTGTTGTTGTTCCCATTAATTATTTATTATTCTGAAAAAGTATATAATCCAGTCAGTTTGGTTTCATAATTTTACGCTGGATTACAATAAGAGTAATCTATGTTGCATTTTCTGAATGTTTGACTGTTTTCATCCTTTTTTATGGTACTTTTACCAACCAGTTCCAGCCTAAAATGTGATCATATCCTCTTTTCAGATCAGAAGCAGTGATATTTATTCGGGTATCATCTGAAGGACACTGCTTTCTTTTTCTCCTCTTGTCTTCGAGTGTTGCTAGGTGCTTCCATCAGCCATTCACAATTGCCCGAACGCTCTCTAAATTGGCTTGTCTGAGGTCACTCAAGTTTCACCTATGAGATTGACAGACCACGTGACTCTCGCGCATTGCATTGTGGGTACACGTGGCAACAACATCAAGACACTGCATCAAACACTAGCATTTCCAGCACCAGTAATCATCAATTCTGCAGTTTTAATCCCTACTTTCATTTTATTTGCCCCAAAAACAGTTATGTAAAAAACGACGGAGAACACAGCAGGTCCGTACAAAGACAGACTTAACGAAAAGCCAAAAAAAAGTACGAGGGAAAAAAAAAAATCAAAGGAGTGAAAGGGTGAGACCCATAGGAGCATACAGAGTGGACTAAAGACGTTAGCGTGCTGCCCAACTTTCATCACGCACATATTTATTATTATATGATCCTGAGTGAAGTGTGAGTGCAACACTCACAAAATGTTTAGTAACTTCAGATCCCTGCAACAAGCCCAGGTCTAGTTTACTTTGGTCATTTCACCGCTGTTGTTACATTTTTGTTCTTTATCTCCTGTACAGGCCAACGCAATCTATTTGTTGTTTGAGGTTGTAGTATTACACAACATTTTCAGATCTAATAGAAAAAAAAAGAGTGTTTTGTAATTAATTCAGTTTTTCTTTATTTATAACTGGCATTATTGTTTCATTCTATTATAGAGTCTTACACGAAAGAGGCAAATTGTATTCCATCACGCTTTATTAGCTCCTTCGTGAAAAACAAATCAACAATGAAAAAAACAACAGCATACTGGAAAACAGTTATTCATCACTTGATTCCTTCAATACAACACTTGGACACATATATGCAGACTTTTCGTGGCTGTTTTGACCTCGCTCTCTTTCAACCGATCAAATCTCGCTGTGGTAGCAGCTTTAAACTCGGTCTGACCCAGGTTGATAGAGGGTGCCCAGTCTGGATCACATTCCAGCATTTTGTAGGCTGGTTTTTCTATAAAACACATCAAAAAATTGGCAAACATTGGCCCGCAAAGCCACAGTGAACAAAGCAGCATAGCACAACGAATTAAATTCAAATCAATATAGACGTATTTGTAACCTACATCAACAATTATGTTACGATAAATTACGTAACAACTACAACAGAAGACTTACCTTTGTGGAAATGCTTGGAGCAGACTAACATGTGAGCTGCAGTGTTCTGAAACGATATATTTGGTCTTCAAATTGCAGCAATCCAGGCCATCCGTCGGCTCTTTGTTACTTCGGAAACGTGGCTTAAACAATTTCTCTTCGACGACGTAATCCGATAACAACCGATCTCTTTACCCGTCGGCTTCCCGTGGCTGTCATGCGACCGGCTATTGCAGTTAATAATACAACAGCTTCTTGCCATTTTTTGTTTCTTTTTATCGCTATATGACTGTTTTCATGTGAAAGCCTGC